CAAGGAGGCCTGAACAGTCTGGGAGGCCCCACCCTCCATCCAAAGAGTCCTTGTCAGCCTGCAGGGCCGAGCCCGGGGGTTTGAAGGCTGCAGAGCCTTTATCTCCAATCAGCCCAGCAAATGAGCAACAGGCTGACTGAGCTGGAGCCCCCAGGTGCCCCTTATTAGGGGCTGCCTCCCCAAGCCCAGCCCCAATCCCATCTGATAGTCACCTCCCAGCTCCCACCTCCCTCACAGCCTGAAGCCTGGGTGTCCAAGGGGAAAGATCAGGCAGGAGGCAGAGGAGTGGGGTGCTTCCAGCTGGGGGATCTCCAGGCCACACGTGGAAGGGCAGCCACAGCCCCCAACACAGGCTCGACCACGCCCCCACCCCACAGGCTGGGCTGCTCCCCCCGCCCCCTGGAGAAGGGTGGAGTTTGGCCTGCTGGGGAGTCTCTTCCAGGCCTTTGAGTCACTCCCCACAGGACCTGAACAGGGTTTCAAATCCGCACGGCCTGAAGCAGGTGTCACGGCACTGCGATGCGTGGACATGCAGTGGCGTGTTGTTACTCACAGACGGTGGCCGCAGAACGGCAGGGGCGGCGTGGCTGGATCCAGGGAGCCGAAGGCTCTGCCCTACTCTATGCATGCAGCCTGGCTCTGTCCCCCCAGGGCTGCGGTGTAACCAACAGCAGCTGCTGGGCTGCGAAGGGAGAGGCCCCACCTCTCCAGCACGGCGCCTATTTCCCCCGAAGAGCTGTGGTTCCGGGGGCCCTGCCCTCCCTGGGCGCTGGGCAGCTGAGACGGATTGTGCCCTCTCGCCTGCACTGCAGGGTGGGCGGCTTCCTGGGCAGGGAGATGGGTGAATCTCCCCTAGGAAGGCAGGCAGGGTTCCTAAGTGTCAAGCCCCCACAAGGGAGGCCATCCAGCTTGCTGAGCCAGACCCATGTATCAGGTCCAGCCCGCTGAGACCCTGCTGAGGGCATCGGTGGCAATGCAGGGACCAGGATGGGGCTGGAATGCACCCTGGACACGCAGGCCTCCTGACCACAGCCCCCCAGTCCTGAGGCCCTTGTCCCGTGAACGGTGGGTGGGGGCCAAGGGGCACCTGGGGGGAGCCCGCCCCATGTCACACCATGACTTCTGCGGACAGCCAGGCTAGGAATGAGGGTCTTCCTGGTGTGGGAGAAAGAGGAGGCCCCCTGAGACCCTGCTTTGGGGAGCACTCAGGAGCCCCAGAGAAGCTGACCATCACTCCGGGGCACAAAGGGAAACTTTCTCAGCTCGGGGTGACAGAGCCTCCCCGCCAGGCTGCAGAGACAATGGGAGGAGGGCCAGCATTTCCGGACAGTACCCCCAGGTAATTCTTCCTTTTTTTTTGTTTTTGAGACGGTGTCTTGCTCTGTCGCACAGGCTGGAGAGCAGTGGCCCGATCTCAGCTCACTGTACCCTCTGCCTCCCAGGTTCAAGTGATTCTCCTGCCTCAGCCTCCTGAGTAGCTGAGATTACAGGCGCCCACCACCACTCCCGGGTAATTTTTGTATTTTTAGTAGAGACAGGGTTTTCACCATCTTGGCCAGGCTGGTTTCAAACTGACTTCGTGACACACCCACCTTGGCCTCCCAAAGTGCTGGGATTATAGGTGGGAGCCACCGTGACCGGCTCAGGTAATTCTTTTACTGGGGACTGTGCAGGGCCCTGCCAACCCCCCTAAAAGGTGGCTGAGGCCTGCTTTTGTTCAGCGAGCCCGCTTTGCTCCAGGGCTTCTGACCACCCGCCTCTGCCGCTCTCTCATGACCTGGGAGCCAACAAGCCTGGACTCAGAATGGAATCGAGTCCTGGGCCCCGAAACGGAAGCTGGGGCCAGCGAGGCGCCCGGAGTCCAAGCAGCCTCTTCCCTGCAGCCTCCTGGACAGTCTCAGGCGCAGGATCTAGAGGAGAAGTGCTCAAGCCTGGTGGACTGACTCCCCGAAGACTCAGCAGTGAATATTTTGCCATGTTTATAGCATGCTGTTTTTTGAATTATTTGAACGTCAGGTTCAGATCTGAGGTCCTGAGTGCTGCCTCTGGAGACAGGGTGTCCTCCACACCTGGGGACACAGACCCCTCCCGGCACCGTCTGTGAGCCCCTCGGAATCTTCCCCACCAGCCCCGCAGGGCTGTGCTTTCCCACACTTCTTGGTTACGGCTCCCGCGGGAGCCTGCGGCTGTCTCCTGGCCTCCACACCAAGGCCACCCGCCCTCCGTCCTGGAGGCTTCTGCAGCCCAGCTGAGTCCACTGGGTCCCTGTCAGCCAGAAGTTAGATGCGAAGGCTCGCAGAGATTCTTGGCGGGACTATTTCACAGCGACTGCACCTCCCACCTCATCCCTCGTCCCCGTGCGGCCGGCCGAGCAGCTCAGAGGGAAAGGAGGGTGAGCAGGAAGGTTGGCGGCATCCAGCACAGCCCTGGGCCGGTGCACAGGCAGCTAGGGCTCCCCGTCCACACCTGGGCCGTCAGCCTCCCCGTCCTGACGGCTGCTTGGGTTACAGAGGCTGAGGCGGAGGTGACAAAGGGAGTCCAGGGCTTGGGGGGAAACACACAACATGCACACAGCACACACGCGCACAGTACACACGCACACAGCACACACACACACAGCACACACGCACAGTACACACGCACACAGCACACACACACACAGCACACACGCACACAGCACACACACACAGCACACACGCGCACAGCACACACGCGCACAGCACACATGCGCACAGCACACACGTACAGCATACACGCGCACAGCACACGCGCAGAGTACACACGCACACAGTACACACGCACGCAACACACACGCGCACAGTACACACGCACAGTACACATGCATGCAGCACACACGCGCACGGTACACACGCACGCAGCACACAGGCGCACGGTACACACGCACGCAACCCACAGGCGCACGGTACACACGCACGCGGCACACAGGCGCACGGTACACACGCACGCGGCACACGGTACACACGCACGCGGCACACAGGCGCACGGTACACATGCACGCGGCACACACAGCACACACGTTCACTACACATGCACACAGTGTGCACAGTACCCCCCACATGCACACTCAACACACGTAGTGCACATGCACAGCACCTCCCACACATGCACATACACGACACACGGGCACAGTCCCCCACACATACACACACACGTCTCATCTCTGTCCGGGATGTGCAGGTGTCTGCCCTGTCACCCTCCATCCGTGTGCCTGGGAGCACGGTCTGGGTTCCTCACGTCTGCCTGGAGGTTGGCACTGTGAGTGGGGGATGGGCTTGCTCCCAGCACATGGACAAGCCAGCAAGGGTGAGGGCACCAGGCTGGCTGCAGAGGCGCAGATGGGAGAGGCGCAGGGTCAGGATCCCCGATGCCTGTCAGATGCCCTCATGGGGATGTCGAGTGCGGTGGGGCAAACAGCGGCTGGGGCATGGCGCTCATGGGGGCGGCTGGGGCACTGCACTCGTGGGGGCAGTGGGGTCACTGTTTGTGGGGACAGAGGGGCGTGCATTTGTGGGGCCTTCTTTACATCGCTGCAGCCGACTCCCATGGCAGCCCGACGGGGCTCAGGAAGGGAGGTTTGGAATTTCTGGGTGGCAGGGCCCTCCCTAGGTCCCAGGGCCTTGAGGACCCTCGTAACTCAGTGTCTGGGTCCCTGCTGGACACGTGGAGCCCGCCCTGCTCCTCTGCAGGATCAAGCCAGGTCCTAGGAAGGCCCAGCTCAGCCCCGAGAGGCTGCTGCCTTGTAGGCTCCAGTGTGGTGGCAGGACCTGAAGATGTCACCGGCTCAGGGCCGTACTCACAGGGGAGTTCAGAGACCAGGGCCAAACGGTGTGTGGCCGGAGCCACACAGGGACCGGAAGCCATTCCCGAGGGCGGGGCTGCACACGTGGGCTTTTATCACGGACTCCAACCACAGCCACACGTCCGCGCTGTCCAGGGCGCACAGCAGCTCTTCCGCCCTTTCCTGGGGTTATATCATAAAAGCACATGCTGGTTCTAACACTTCCAGCAATGCAGAAATGCGCAAGGGGAAAGTGGCCCTTGCCGTGGACATGGCCACAGGACATTGTTTCTGGTGGGACGCCTGGGTAGGTTTCACAGGTTGCCTCGCAGTCCGGCAGGCCGAACCTGTCCACCTGGGCGCCCGTGCAGCCTGCCTCCGTGGCACTCCGGGGCAACGTGGACCGACGCGTGCTTGTCTGAGGCCGTGTGTGCAGCCAGGAGTCTGCCCCCAGAACGGTCCATCCACGAGGGGCGGTCCTCCCGAGGAGGGCTTCCGTGCCACCCATGCTGGGCACTTCTAGACTTTCTGCAGGAAGTGCTGTCCCGGAGTCGTCGTTTTGTCCCGAGGCTGCTGTGAGGAGGGGGACGGACGAGCACAGCTGGAGAGTGGGGACAGGCAGGACAGTCAGTCCAGGCACGGCCGCAGGTCCCGGCTGCCGGCTTTCCCTGGCCAGAGAAGAGCAGCGTCCAGCAGGCTGCAGGCACAGTCCCGGCTCACACACAGCCCAGAGCGCACGGAGGCCCCAGCGCACACGTTCACTTTCACCTTTGTTCTCTCCGGCTTTCCAGCTTTGGGGTCCTTGCGAAGAGGGACCCACCACAAGGTTATAAATATGACACCTGCATTCCCTTCCAATCCTTCGTGGCTTTCTTTTTTACACACAAAGCTTACAACCTTTACTTTTTCCAACTGGAAAACCCGTTTTTCCAACACTTTTTAAAAAACAAATTATCCTTTTACCATATGCTGAAAGCCCTACCCATAACAAGTCCACTGCTGCATTTGACTCTGTTCACTGACCCTTCATTGACTTCCTAAACTGACCCTTTTGAAATCTTTCAGCCAAGAGGTGGCTTTAATATTCTCCAGAAATCTCCAGAACCTTTGCGTGGCTCAGGGTGAGAGGTGTAAACAGAGCAGCTCTGTCCTCCGGCGGGCGCCAGGTGCCCGCTGCACAGACCGCGTGTTAGGTGCTTCCTCAAAATGCATCCCCCGTCTGAGGCAGAGCACGCAGGCCTCAGGGCCCCATGGACAGCACTGGTCCCCGAGTTTGCACGCCATGTCCTGGGCTTAGAGGTGGTATGCCAGGGGCTGCCCGCAGCAGGATGGCCAGGCAGAGGCCAGGGCCTCTTGTCCCACCTGGCAGAGACCCCAGAAGGAGCCCAGGAGCAGCATCAGAGCCTGGGGCCTGGGCAGGGGTGCCCAGGGGCACAGCAGCTGCAGGTCACTGGCCAGGCCAGGAGACGGTGAGTGGGGAGCCGGGGGCAGGTGGAGAGACCCCAAAAAGGGGCTGTTCAGCTGGGCATCCTGCACCTCCCGTTTGTGCTTCATCTGGCGATTCTGAAACCAGGTTTTTACCTGCAGGAAAACCAAGATGGCAGCAGGGGTGAAAGGAGGCCACCAGGCCACCCTTGCCCACCCCAGTCTGCCTGGCCCACCTCACCTGGAGCTCTGAGAGCTGCACCTCCCTGGCCAGCCTCTTCTGCTCCAGAGGGCCCAGGTGCTGGTGGTGCTGGAAGACGCCCTCCAGGGCGCGGACCTGCTTGGTGCTGAAGGCTGTGTGGACAGGGGAGCCCGCCAGGGGTTTGGCTCCCCACTCAACCCTGCCGGAGAGGGTAAGGGCATTCGGCTCCACAGGCCCCACAGGGCAGGCTCCCGGCCACGGGTAACAACAGGTGAAGACAGCTGTGCTGGGGCAGGGATGGCCCGGGCAGATCTTCTCACCTGACTGGGACCAGCAACCTGGCCCAGCGAGGTGGCTCGAGGCAGGAAGGAATGTTAACGGCACTGTGGGACTGACCCCTGCTCAGTTCACTCCCTTCTGCCCCATCCCACACTTCCCTTCCAGAAGCTGCTTCCGAGAACGCCCTTCCCGACCTTCCAGCCAGGTAAGGTAGACTCCATTATATGCAAAGGCCTGGGCCCCACCCAGGGAGCTCAGTCTCCATCTCCAGGCCTGTCTCCGTCTCGTCTGTTTTCTAATTTCTAGAAGGAGGGATGGGGGTTGGTGTTAAAAAGCCCCACACCGTGGCCTGGGCATCTGGGCTGAGTCCCAGGAAGGAGGCCAACTGGTGAAATGAATCAACATTCACCACGAGTCTGACCAAAATGCTCACGGGTGTTTCTGCGGAGGAAGTGCACTTTACAGTCTGTCTCAACGCTAACCTGAAAGCATTCGGCAGACCCGGAAAGCAAGTGCCGTGCGTCGGGGAGGCCTGTAGGGGTCAGCACCAGGAGTGGGTGCAGGGTGGGGAGGGCTGGCTTTTTTGGGGTGGAGCAGGCTAACTAGCTGCGGAGAACACATTTACATTCTCACCTCCCTGAACACAAGGTTACTCCGTAAGGATGAGACTTTTAAAATTGAAAACTTTCAGGCCGGGCGCGGTGGCTCACGCCTGTAATCCAAGCACTTTGGAGGCCAAGGCAGGAGGATAACGTGAGGTCGGGAATTCAAGACCAGCCTGACCAACATGGTGAAACCCCGTCGTTAAAAAGAAAAAAAGTGAAAACTTTCAATGTCAACCCCACTTTTGACCAAGTACTACCTTAAACCTAAAACCCGAGATGACATCGCAAAGACTAACAGACAAACGCGGAGAACCTTTGCTGTCAGCAGACCACAGGGACAGAGACAACTTCAGTTTCTGCAGGCCCCGGTCACGGCCACCCTTACACCAAACCCACGGCACTCTTTAAGAAAAGACAGCTGTACTCCAGGAGGCCTGGGACCGGCTTGAACCTAGGTGCTGGGAGGTTGGCAAATCACTGGGGCCCTTGGACCTGGGTCCCGATGGCCGAGGGGCTGGAACACCAGAGGAACGGGACCCAAGTCTGCGCTGTGTTTTGGGGGGCGCCTGGAATCGGGGCAGGGAAGTGCAGACTGGGACTCCTTGGGCGGTCCCTCACCACCAGGCTGGGGTGGGGAACGGGGTGACAGGACAGGCAGGGGAGCCCACTGGGGGCTCAAGGAGAGAAAATCCCCGTCAAGGCTTTGGTTCCTTGGGAAGCTGTGCTCCAGGAAGGGCGCAGGCCAGGCCCTGGCCGGTCCTCAAGGAAAAGCCTCAGGCCCTGCCCCAGTCCGCAGGCCACTGCGGGGGATGCAGCCGCCTGGGTCCTGGCCTCTCCCCAACTCCCATCTCCACCTGGAAATGAAGGGACCCCCGATCCGGACCTACCAGCCACAGTCCTCTGCGGCACAGGCAGATGTGGGGACCTAGCCTCCTCCATGCTGATGGCCTGAGGGGGCTCCCGGGTAGCTGGTGCCTGGCCCAGGCCAGGCAGGACCCCTGGGGAGGCGTTGGCAGGCCTGAGGGTGTGGGTGGGCCTCGGGCAGCTGCTCTGGGAGAGCCAGTCCACCGAGCCAAAGCTGGAGGGCTGCTGCGGGCCACGAGGTGGGGAGGAGGAGAGACGCATGGCGGCCAGGTGGGCCGGAGGGAAGGCCAGGCGGGGCTGGCCAGGCGCGGGTGGCACCGCGGGCTCCGCCATTTATACGCCCAGGAGGAGGGGGCGGAAGCCCGGTTTGCTGGGACGACTAATTCCCAGATAAGCAGCGCCTAATTGCCTCCGTTCAGAGGCACAAAGGAGGCCGTTCACACCTCCCCGCTCCTAGATGTCTGGGGGAAGGGCGGGGCTGCGGGCCTGGTTCCCGGAGCAGTGAGGGTTCGGGAACGGCGGATTCCTTTCATCTCTCCCAACCCCCATCTCGCAGGCCGGGGCCGCAGGCAGGGAAGAGGGTCCCACTCCCACTCGGGCGCGTCCCGAGCGAGGGCCGGCCACCTCTCCTCTCCGTGGGGACGCTGGAGCGTGTGTCCAGCCCGGACACCTGAGCGCGAGCCGGCTTCAGGCTGGGAGAGTCAGGGCGGACTCGGCCGGTGCCTGCGTGCGCCGCGTCCGCGCAGGACCCCAGGAGGCGTTCCGGGAAAGGAGAGACAGCGGAGGGCCTAGCGGAGGGCCTGGCGGAGCGGCGCGCGTGGGGGGAGTGCCGGGAGGGGCCTCGCGCTCAGTGGACTCCGCCGCCTCCAGCCCCGGCCCGGCTCCTCTGGGGGACTCGCTCCCGGGCATTCGGGCGCGCGTGGCTCCCCGACCCCATCCTGAGCTTCAAGGGCTCGCAACTCCACTTCGGCTGCGCGACTGGCGCGTTCCCGTCAAGCCGGGCTGTCCCCACGGTGGCCAGGGCCGGGACAGAGCCACCGGGGTCTGTGGAGCGCAAACCTCACGGGGACGGTCACCGCGGTCGCTGCTCCCACTAACCTCCAGCCCGAGCTGCCCGGAGAACAGGGGAGCAATGTCTCCGACGCCCCCGGATCGCCTGCGCCGTAGGGTGGGACGCGGCCACGCCCCGAGCCTCCGCCGGACTCTGAGCCACGGTGTCCCCAGGGTTCGGGCTCGGGGTCCGCCCTGCGTCTCCTGCGGCGGGAACTGGGAGCGAGCGCAGGTCCGGCCCTGGAAGCCACGCATGGTTTCGGCGCAGACGGGGTCCAGCGAGCCGCCCAGATCCCGGGCCCGGCCCTGACGCCGCCGCCTCAGCGCCCAAGCCGCCCGGCGAAATCAAATAGACCCGCAGGCCTCGTCCCCCGGTAACGCCCAACGCAGCCTCCCAGGCTAAGAAAGAGGGGGGAGCCCGGGAGGTGGGCGCTGGCGGGACCTTCTCGGGGAAGCGATCGGCGGCTGACCTGGGTCCCAGGCGAGGGGTCGGGGGACGGACCACGCAGCCGCTGACCCGGGTCTTCCTTGGACCGTGCACCGGCCCAGTTAGGTCCCCGGACCCTCAAGGGGGAGGCGGGCGGGGGCGGGGCGCCGGGGGCTTTGGACGTGGCGTCTGGGAGTGAAATAGGCGGGATAGGGGCCCGGAGCTCGGCCTAGACCCCTCCCCACTTCGTCTCCGGAGAGACCGGGACCGGCCGAGTGTCCCGACCAGCGGCGGCGAGGGCCCGATGCCTGCGGCCACAGGATTGGCTCCGAGGGTGCCCCCGGGGCGGGTCCCCAGCCCTGGGGCAGTGGGGGCGGCCGTGCCACGTGGGAGCAGAGGCCCTGGTGGTGGGGGCTGCTGTGGGCGGTGCCTCAAAATGGAGCAAAAGACAGCACCCCCCATGACCCTCCAACACAGAACATTCGACAGGCAGGAAAAAGGCCTGGAAGCAACCCTTACATAAGGAGGAACGCCACAAGCGTGGACTTGGGAAACGCACCAACACACGTTCCAGCACCCAGCCTTACCCTTCTCCATTTCTAATTTCGGGGGCCCCCGGGGTCTGAGCCCCTTCTGCACGCCGTTCAGCCCTCCCACCCCCCAGCTCCGCACGGAGACCCTCCTCCCAGTTTCCCAGCTCCCCCGACTCCACCTCCACCTGAAACGCCCCCTCCGACCCCCCGAAGTACGAAGGCATCCTCGCCTCCATGCAGCAGGGTCAGACACCCCCTCGGTCCTGGGCCGCCATCCAGGCCCTTGCTGCGCCGGGGTGGCCCCTGTCTCCCACCCAGCGGCCCCACAGCGGAGGCTCAGTCCTCCCCGCCTCCGGCAGCCGGGGCCTGGGGTCACCAAAGCCTCCGTCCGCCCCCAGCTCTGGGACGCGTCCCGGTGAGCTGCCCTTGCTAGGAGACTTCGGCGCCCCCGAGAATTGGTCCCCGCGCGCCCCAGAGCGTAGCCCCCGCGGGCACCGCCCCGACCCCCACCGTCGGGGACCGGACGGGGTAGCGCTGGGCGGCGAAATCCCGTGTCACTCCCAGGCCGGCAGCCCGGTCCCCACACAGGGCCCGGAGCCCAACTAGTCCCCGAAACGGGCTCCACCCGCGGCCACGGGCTCAGGGAAGGCACCAGGCCCAGCGCGTGCTCCCGCCGGTTCCAGACCACCCTGCTCCCGCCGGCCCCGTCAAGACTCACTGGAGCCTCCTCCGGGACCACCTGAGGGAGAGGCCTCAACCCCTCTCCAACACCCACCCCAGCGGCCTCTCGGACACCCCCACGCGCCCCCCTCCCCATATCCCCATGCGCGCCCTCCTTGACACCCCCACACAGCCCCCACTCCAGGCCGACACCCCTACTCTCCCCCGTCCCCCTCCACACCTCCACATCCTCCTCCCGGACACCCTGACATGCCCCGCTCCTTGACACGCCCAGTCTCCCCATCTCCCTCCCCAATACCACCACACTCTCCCCTCCTGGACATCCCTATGCCCGCTACCGTGCACTCCACGCCCCTCCTCCCCGAAGACCCTACGCGCCCCCCCCACACACCCATCCACTGGACTGGTCTGGGCGTCCTCCCAGCCTACAGGCCCGCCTCTTCCCAGGCCCCACACCACCCCAGCCGTCACATGCTCTAGGGGTAACCTGAGGCGGCAGCTACTTGGCCCCGACGATGCCCCCTCCCACCCCCACCTCTCCTGTGGTCGGTTCTTGCCACACCCCGCGCAGCTCACCCCGCCTTAAACACCGCTTTGTCCTTCGGAGCCCCCAATTTTCCTGGTTGGGGTAAGGGAGGTGTGAGGGTGGGCAGCTCTGTGGGCCTCACGCTGCCCCAGTCGGGCATTTAAGTGGAGTCCACTGGGTGGGTGAGGATGGGGGACACGCAGGCGGCCACAGCTCCCTGGACGCTGCCTGAGAAAGGCTGCTCAGGGCCCCCCTGCCTCTCCCTGCGTCTCCTGTCCTTCCTTGGGGCCCTCCAGGGACAGAGCAGAGGCTTTGGGAAGTTCGGGGTGACCGCTGCCTGCAAGTGCCCCTTCCCACCGCCTGCAGGGCTGGGTGGGCACCAGGGCAGCAGAGTAGGGGCTGACTCAATTCCAAGAGGTTTTGCAGGTGAGTCAGGCACTAAGGCTAAACCTGAAAAGGAGCCCACCCGTAGTGGCTCTCGAGGCTGTGGGAAGTGAAAGGAGAGGAGTCAGGCAGGTGGAGGCCCCCTGGAGGGATGTGGGGGCCACTGACTTTGTTTGCCAGGTGGGAGGTGTCCAGCAGGCCTTCTCTGACCAGCACCCTACTCACAGGTTGAGGGTGAAAGCCCCAGCCATGGGCACCAAGGTGGCCAACAGCGACCTCAGGCCTGAATCAGCTCCCACTGGACACTGGCCCCACAGCCTCCTGGACAGGGGACCAGCACCAGGGGTGCTAGGCAGGTGTGGGAGCTGTGGGTGCACCTGTCTTCTGGCTGCCTCAGGCATCTCTCTGGCCTTCACCCGTGGTCTTGATGCCCACAGCTCTGAGAGCAGATGCTGCATGGCCTCAGGGCATCCCCCCACCCGCGATGCCCCCACTTCTTTCCCCATGCTGTGATCAGTGAGCGGGTAGTTTGCAGACCTGACCTGGTCTGTGACCTTTTTGCTGGTGATTCAGAGCCGTGGGGGCCAGAACATCTGCAGGGGTGCGGCTCCTGCATCCTCCTGGGGTGCCCAGGCCTCTGACAGGGGCCGGGCCAGCCTCCTGGACCAGGCTTACAGAGGTGCAGCCACCGTGAGGCGCTGGAGTCACTGCTGGAGGTGTGGGACGTAACAACTGAGGCACGTGCAGCGATTTAAATTAAATAAAATTAGTTAAATTAAAAAAATTCAGTTATAGGGGCATGGTAGCCCATGCCTGTGGTCCCAGCTACCCAGGAGGCTGAGGCAGAATTGATTGCTAAAGCCTGGGAGGTGCACTCCAGCCTGGACAACAGATTGACCCTGTCTGTGGTGGAGACACTGGCCAGATGGGTCCCCCAAGCCATCGGTCATGGGGTGGAATGTTTCTGTATCTCCACAGGCTATTGAAAACAGTTGGTAAGTCAGGTGCGGTGGCTGGCTCACGCCTGTAACCCCAGCACTTTGAGAGGCCGAGGTAGGAGGACTGCTTGAGCCCAGGAGTTTGAGACCAGCTTGGGCAACCTAGCAAGACCCCATCTCTACAATACAACAAAACAGAAAAAGGTGCAAACCTCACCTCCATTGGGATGGCAACACTGAATACATAAATACATAAAAAACAACCCAGAAAACAGCAAGTGTGGCGGGGAGGTGAAGTTGGGGGTGCTCTGGGGACTCTTGGTGGGAATGCAGCTGCTGTGGGAAGGAGCTTGGGGGCTCCTCCAAAAACGAATCATGGAATTGTCGTACAAAGTCCCCTTCTGGGTACAGGAAGAACTGAAGACAGGGTTTCTGAGATGTTTGTACATCCATGAGCACAGCAGCATTAGAGACGTGGAAGCAGGACACTGTCCATCAACCCACCACGGATGAACAGCGAAGGCATGCTCCCTCCACACGTGGAGTATGATTCAGCCTCAGAAAGGAAGCAAATCCCACCACAGGCTACAACGCGGGTGGATCTAGAGGACGTCACGCTGGGCAAAACCAGCCAGGCACAGAAAGAAGATCGTCTTCTGTGTGTTATCTGGAGTGGTCAGATTCATAGACAGAAAGCAGAAGGGTGTTTACCAGGGGCTGGGGGAGGAGAGGTGGGAGCCGGTGTTCAAGGGACAAGTTTCAGTCTGGAAGATGGGGTGAGTTATGGAGGTGGATGTAGTGACGGCCGCACAAGCCTGTGAACGTCTGGGACACCAGGGACCTGTGCACTTAGAAGTGGCTGCGATGGAAGTTACGTCAGATGCATTTTACTACAGTTTTTAAAAAGAGGCAAGTCACTGTCTAGGGGGCCCCTATTGAGACCACAGGGGCACCGATTTGAAGAGAGGTCTTGGGGGACCCTGTCCTACCCTAGTGATCAGTCATGGGGCAAGATGAGCCCAGCCTAGCGCCTGGTCCAGGGGTCTGCATATACCTGGCCATACACAGAGGACCCCCAGCCTAAGACAGATGGCACCAACAGCTGGGACCTTGCTGCTGGGTCAGCTAGAGGGACCTTGGGAAGAGCAGACAAGTGAAGGACGCTAAAGAAACCAGCTAAGGGCCTGGGCAAGCTAGGCCAGCTGTGCTCAAACCCTGGCCCCATTAAACAGCACACAGGAGATTAATCCTGCAATGTCCATAGAGCCAGTTATTTATTTTGGAGACAGGCTTTTGCCCGGGCTGGAGTGCCTCATGCGATCACAGCTCACTGCAGTCTCGGCCTCCGGGGCCAAAGTGATCCTCCTGCCTCAGCCTCCAGTGAAGCTGGGACTACAGGTGCATGCCACCATGCCGTTAATTTTTGTATTTTTTGTAGAGTTGGGGTTTTGGCATGTTGCCAAGGCTGGTCTCGAACTCCTGAGCTCAAGTGATTCTCTTGCCTCAGCCTCCCAAAGTCTGGGATTACAGGCATGAGCCACCACACCTGGCCCCTAAATTGATTTTAAACAGCCAAAATATACTCCCTGCACCAGATTACAAAGTATTAGAGGTCCAGGGCCTGCGTGTTCAGATTCATTATTTTGATACCGGGCTCAGGAGGATCATGGCACGTGACCCTCACCCTACTGCCTGAACAGGAAGGCAGGTGAATTCTGCCTGGTGCCCCTAAATCGCTCCTGCTTGGAGGGCAGAGTGTCCAGTAACCCGGTGAGGGGGCAGCACAGCCCCACACTTAGGGTGTTGGTGCGTTTGCTGGGATGTGGCCGACGGGACCTGGGCGTGCTGTCAGGCAGGGTGTACTTCAGCTGTTTCAGACCCCATGGGGCCCCCAGCCTGTGTCTCTGACCTTTGGGGGCTGTGTACATGAGGGGGGATGCTTGCAAACTTGGCTCATCCAACAGGTTTTTACCAGCTTGGAGATTCTCAGGAAACACAGCAGGGTGGAGCTGAGGACAGACTTCTTTCTTTTAGTCAAGGTCTCACTTTGTTGCCCAGGCTGGACAGCAGTAGCACAAGCACAGCTCATGCAGCCTCGACCTGCTTTGCTCAAGCCATCCTCCCACCTGTTTCCCCAAATAGCTGAGGTTAAAGGTGCATGGCACCATGCCCAGCTAATTTTGGAATTTTTAATAGAGATGTGGTCTCGCCATGTTACCTGTGCTGGTTTTGAACGCCTAAGCCCAAGTGATCCTTCTGCCTCGGCCTCCCAAAATGTTAGGATTACAGGCGTGAGCCACTGAGCCTGGTCCAGAGTGCTTTTTTTTTTTTTGAGACAGTGTTGCCTGTTGCCGGGCTGGAGTGCAGTGGTGTGATCTCTGCCCACTGCAACCTCTGCCTCTCGGGTTCAAGTGATTCTCCTGCCCCAGCCTCCTGCCTAGCTGAGACTGCGTGCCACCACGCACGACTACTTTTTCTATTTTTAGTACAAACAGGGTTTCATCATGTTGGTCAGGCTGGTCTTGAACTCCTGACCAAGGAATCCACCTCCCCCCCGACCAAGGCCTCCTAAAATGTTGGAGTTACAGCGATGAGCCAGCGTGTCCAGACTGTTTTAAATGAGGTGACGCCTGGAGTCAGTTCTTGCAGGCGTGGTCTCACAGGCCTCCCATCAGACCTGGACAAGGTGTTGATTCCCAGGAGCTGCCATCAGTGCCTGCAGGACCTATTCTTCCGGGTCCTCAGAAAAGCAAGTGCGGAGGGGGCTCCAACCCTACCACCCACGGGGACCCCCAGCCCCATTTAGCTGCAGGCCCAGGGCAAGCCACTTGTCTTCCTGGATGGGCCTGCTAATTTGCAGGCATTGTTATGCTAGTGAAATTCCTCCAGGCTACATTTGTATCTCCGGCTCCACCCAATCCGCCTTCTGACTCAGGGGCCCTCTATTGCTACTTGGAAAGATGCCTCCTGGGCAGGTGTGCTTCAGTTTTCTCAAAATTGCAAGGACCCTGCCCTCAGTCTCTGCCCAAGGATCACACCCTAGCCGCTCAGCGCTGCCCAGGGCCCACCCAGACCAGAACCACCTCCCCGGAGCTGCGTGGCTTCTCCTCCTCCTTTGTTTCCAAGGACCTGGGAGAGGTCAGCAAGATGGCTCCAGACTGCCCGAGGCTACGGGAGGACCTTGGAACGCCCCATGCTACTCCGGGGTCAGTGGGAGTTCTCTGCTGGGCAGCTTGGAGGCCGCCTCCCCCCAACCTGAGGTGGGTCAGCCTCAGTTTCTCTCCAGAACCCCAGCGAAGCCCACCCTCCCCCTCTGTCTTACTTACTGGAGCTCCCCAGAAGGAGCAGGGAGAGTCTGTTGTGGCCTTGAGAATCGCGGTAACCAGGAGTCAGCGGCAGGCACCGTGCCCACCACCCCCCAGGTGGCCTCCTGGGGCTACATTTGAGTGAGCCCCACGGAGCTCCATCCACGCCTCAGGAGCCAGTGGGAGTCCCTCCCTTTGATGAGGGCGCTGGAGCCCTACCCTGCCCTTTGCAGTCCCTGCGCTCCCTCCCAGCGTGGAGACCAGCACCCCTTAACAGCCCAGTCTCCTAGGAAAACAACGCTTTTATTGAACGTACCTAGGAGCGGGGGTGGGAAGAAAGCAGGAGGGATCAGGGTGGAGGGGCCCCGGCCTGGAGAGGGGAGGCTGGCCGCAGCGGGCGTCACTGGCACGGGTCCCTGAAGACCCCTCGCTCGGCGGCCGCACTGCCCAGGATGAAGCCCACGGCCAGGGACACCGTCTGGTCGAAGGCGCCGCGCAGCTGCTCCACGTGCTGGTTCAGCGTCAGTAGCTGGTCGCGCAGCGGGCCCAGGATGCCCACGATGTCGCCCAGGTGCCCCAGGGTCTGCAGCAGGGCGGCGTTCAGCGACGTGGGAGCAGCCGGAGGGGGCGCACGGTCCTCGGGGCGGCCGGGCGGCGAGTCGGGGTCCTCGCGGGTCGGGTCGGGGACTGGCGGTGGCGGGGAACTGGGGCCGCGGACGGGCGCGCGGTCCTCCGGGAGGCAGGTGGCGAGGGCTGTCGGGGCGGGGGTTGACGGGGAGCCCGGGGCGCGGGCGACATCCGCAGACTTCGGCGGGGACGGGCTGAAACGGAGCCTCCAGGCAGGGTCCGCGTCGGGGTCGCGCGCGGCCGGCAGCTGGGCGGTATCTGGGAACGCGGAGCGGGCGCTCGCGTGGGGGTCCGGGGGCGCGCCTGCCCCTCCCCCCGCCACCCCCGCCGCCCCTCGGCCCCCGCCTACCTGGTACGCTCGGAGCGAGCGCGGGCGCGCCGGGGGCCGGGCGGCGGCCGCGCTGGGGGCGCCCAGGTCCCGGGGAGCGGCGGCGGGGTCGTTTGCGCCCGTTGTCGCCCAGTAGCCCCATGAGCTGCCTGATCTGGTCGTCGAAGGGCCCGGACGGCTGGCCGTGCGCCTCGCGGAACTTGTCCTTGAGGAACTTGTAGCGGCGGCGGCACTGCGCGGGGGTGCGGCGCACCTGCTGCCGGGCCAGCGCTGCCGACACGCGGCGGTAGGTGGGCAGCGCCTGGCGGCGGTCCAGGAGCAGCGCGCGCCACACGCCCGGCTCCAGCAGCGTGTCCAGCAGCAGCTCCGTCTCCCGCGCGCTCCAGGGCGTGCGCTGCGCGGAGCCCGGGGAGACCGGCGACATGACCTCCCCGAGCGCGCTCGGCGAGGCGGGCCTCCGGGGCGGGGTCGCCGGGGCGTCTCCCGGTGGCTGCGGCTCGCGGTCCGGGCTGGTCGGCGACAGTGGCGCCGGGGGCGCGAGGGGCGGCGGCCTCCGGGGCCGGAGCAGCATCCCGGGGCCGGGGCGCGGCGCGCTAGGACTCCGGGCCGCCGCGGGAGAAAGGAGGCGGGCGCCGCCCAAACGCGCTCTGAGCCTCCGGCGCCGTCGTCCGGCCGTCCGAGGCGGGCCTACGCGACCCTCCCACCGCCGGCGGCCCCGCCCCGCCCCGATCGCCCCGCCCCTCCACTCCGCCCGCCCGGTCCTAAGGGGTCCATCGCGGCGCCTCCGCTGGGTGCCTGGGCCGAGAAGACTCAGAGTAGAGCGCAGCTGCCGTCGGAAAGGGAAAATCCGCGGCGGTTCTGTTTTTAAAGTCGTTTACCGAGGTGCCGCTTGGCCGCAGCGCGCCCGAGCGCCGGCGGCTCCGTGCGTTTTTACGCACGTGCCGGCCTTTCCCGCCGCCCACGCCCAGGGGTGCGCGGAGCCCCTCCCGCTCCAGAAGGCGCCGGTGCCCCTGCGTCCCGCCCCCTGTGCCGCCCCCGCCCGGATTCAGCGCCTGCCCCGAGGGTTCCTGGGGACATCCCGGTCCGGAGCGGTGCCTGCGGTGCCTGCGGGTCCAGGGGCCGGGTGGGAGGAGAAGCCGCCGCCAGGTGCGGGAACGCGTGTGGGAATTCACGCGCTCTACAGAATCTGACCTTCTTCAATCCGCAGCGCGTTTGCAGCCCACATCCCCAGGACAGGACACGCTGTTCCCATTCGACACGCGGTGCCGTGCCCCTCCGTCTCCTGGTCCGTGGCAGTTCCTCGGGTCCTGGACACTGGGGAGGACTGGCCAGGTGTTTTGTTGACTTCCTCGACTTAGGTTTGCCTGGTGTCTTCCTGCGGCCAGGCTGGGGCGCTGGGTTTTTGGGAGGGAGGCGCAGAGGTCGGGGGCCGGTCTCGCCCCTCTGGTCCTGTGGTTCAGCCCGGGCGAGGTCCACTCCGTGCTTAGGTGGGGGCGTCTGCGGGCCTCACTGTTCAGCTGCCGCCTCTCCGTCCCTGCTGTGGTCACTGGAATCCAGTCCCCAAGTCAATCCCCAGCTTATGGGGAGAATATCTGGCCCCACCTCCTGCAGGCTTGTCTGTATTTTCTGGAATTCCTCCGTGAGGAGGCTGGACTTTCCCGGCCTGTTGGTTTATCTGTTCAGTAGTTTATTTCTACAGTGTGTGCTGGTGTATGTTTATTTGATCCTTTAGGTCATAACCCGATGCTGTTGTTACTTAATTATTTTAAAAGTTCTGTTTATTTTTATTATTTCTGGAGTGCAGTGGCATGATCACAGCTCACTGTAGCCTTGAACTCTTGGGCTCAAGTGATCCCCCAGCCTCAGCTTACTCAGTAGCTGGGGCTACAGGCGTGCGCCACCACACCCAGCTAGTTTTTTACTTTTTGTGAAGACAGGGTCTTGCTTTGTTGTCCAGGTTCCCCTTGAACTCCTGGGCTCAAATGATCCTCCTGCCTGGGCCTCCCAGCGTGCTGAGATTACAGGCGTGAGCTCCTGCGCCTATTTTTTTGCTCAGATTGTTCCAGCTTTGGCCATTGAGACTCTTCTCTCCGCTTCCTCTCTTCCTGTGTCCTGTTGAAACCCCACTCCCAGCTCCCTGACACAACAGGATGCTCCTGCCTCATCTGGTGCTTTGTCAACCCTGGCCCTAGAATCAGCTTTTCAGACATTTCTCCAGAAATCTGTGGTTCCTGGCCAGGCACTCATACAGGGGGCTCATGCCATTATTCCCAGCACTTTGGGAGGCTGAGGCAGGCAGACCTTATGAGCTCAGGAGTTTGACACTGACCTGGGCAATAAAGTGAGACCCCCATGTCTGCACAAAAATTAAAAATAGCCAAGTGTAGTGGCATGTGCCTGCAGTTCCAGCTACGTGGGAAGCTGAGGCAGGAGGATATCCTTTTTCTCAGGAGGTTAACCCTGCTGTGAACCGTGATTGCCCAATTGCGCTCCAAGCCTGGGTGACAGAGCAAGACTCTGTCTTAAAAAAAAAAAAAAAAAAGGTTGAGTGTAGAGCTGACGCCTGTAATCCCAACACTTTGGGAGGCCGAGGCGGGAAGATCACGAAGTCAAGAGATGGAGACCATCCTGGCCAACGTATCGAAACCCCGTCTCTACTAAAAATACAAAAATTAGCTGGGCATTGTGGTGTGCGCCTATAGTCCCAGCTACTCCGGAGGCTGAGGCAGGAGAATCGCTTGAACCTGGGAGGCAGAGGTTACAGTGAGCCCAGATCATGCCACTGCACTCCAGCCTGGGCAACAGAACAAGACCTCGTCTCAAAAAAAAGGAAAAAGGCCGGCATGGTGGCTCATGCCTGTAATCCCAGCACTTTGGGAGGCCGAGGCAGGAGGATCACCCGAGGTCAGGAGTTCAAGACCAGCCTGGCCAACATGACAAAACCCTGCCCCTTCTAAAAATACAAAAGTTAGTGAGGTGTGGGGCAGGCGCCTGTGATCCCAGCTACTTGGGAGGCAGAAGCAGGAGAATTGCTTGAACCTGGGAGGTGGATCTCAAAAAAAAAAAAAAAAGATTTTTAATAACTGAGGGTTGAGGGTGCTGGCGACATCTGATGGGTGGAGATCAGAGATGGTGGTGCTTGGGACCCCAGTGCAGACTGGCCAGCTCGCAGTGGCAGCTGCCGTGCCCAGCTGGGAAGCCTGTCAGGAGCCCTTTGGAGACACAGCGGGCAGTGTGTGGTGGGGGCTGGCCTTGGGTGCACACGTGTGACCATCGTTAGAATACACACGAGTTCATCGGGGCCTCTGACGCTCGTCCCCCACTTGCTTTTCTGGAACTGCTTTCTTGGGCACCGGGGGGACCTGGCTCCCGCACATACTACGGATTCGTTGTTCAGCCCTGATGTGCGAGAAGGTGGCTTCAGAATTGCTGACGGCGTGCCTCTGAGAAGCAGGTTTGCTGTGTGTGGGCCTTGGGCCTTGCCTTGGTTTCCACGGTTACTGAGCTTGGCCCACTCCCGTTAGTGAGGTGCTGTCACCCAGCTGCTGTCGGGGCCGCAGGTCAGTGCAGACCGTCTGCCCTAGGGTTCCCCACATCCTGCTTACCAGACGGTTCTAGGTTTCTGTTTGTGCTTTTTCAGGTTGTTACAAATTTATTGAATGTACTGTGCCGAAACTCGGAGTTAAATATCCCTTTTTTCGGAAATAATTCCAGAATTTGGGGCTGCGGCCCAGTTGAAGGCTGACCTGGGTCACCCTGTCCCTGGTCATTGCTGACCGGCTGGTCCAGGGGCAGACGACTGGCCCAAGCTGGACCCATCCGAGTCCTTCTCTAAGATTTGCCAAACCGAACCCAAGGAGGGGCGTCCAGGCTACATGAGCTTTTGACAAAGGCAGAGAGTTATGCAGCTGCCACCCCGAACCATACAGAACAACCCACAAAAACAGAGAAAAAACCACACAGAACAACCCACAAAAACAGAGAAAAACCACACAGAACAACCCACAAAAACAGAAGACATGTGGCCTCTGTGACGTGTGATGCGTGAAGGGCAGATGGAGATGTGGGGAGACACTCACATACTTGGTCACGAGAGACCGAGGACCTGGGGCGGGGAACCCTTGTCAGCGCTGGCAGGAGCACAGTGGTGCAGGCCCTGTGGGGAATGGGCCCGCCGTGACACCCTCACACGCCCCCAACGGGCCCGCCATGACACCCCACACCCTCCCAACAGGCCCGCCGTGTGACACCCCACACGCCCCCAACGGGCCCGCCGTGACACCCCACACGCCCCCGACGGGCCCGCCGTGACACCCCCACATCCTCCCGACGGCCCGCCGTGACACCCCCACACCCTCCCGACGGGCCCGCAGTGTGACCCCCACACCCTCCCGACGGGCCCGCCGTGACACCCCACACCCTCCCGACGGGCCCACCGTGTGACACCCCACACCCTCCCGACGGGCCCGCCGTGTGACACCCCACACACCCCCGACGGGCCCGCCGTGACACCCCACACCCTCACGACGGGCCCGCCGTGTGACCCCCACACCCTCCCGACGGGCCCGCCGTGACACCCCACACCCTCCCGACGGGCCCGCCGTGTGACCCCCACACGCTCCCGACGGGCCTGCCGTGACACCCCCACAGGCTCCCGACGGGCGTGCTGAGGAGAGACACACGGTGGGAATTCCCGCCGGCCTCACGGTGCCCTGTGAATGTAGACGACGCTGGAGTGACAGGACCTCTGTGGTCAGTGGGTGGGCGGGCGCTGTCGCGCTGTACAGCTCAGGAGAGGACCACACGGGCAGGAGCCAGAGCAGTGGGGCTCATGGGGTCGCTGGCTGTCGGTTCTCCAAGGGAAAAGTCCTGTGCTCAGTGGGGCTACGTTTATCAGAGCCACTGCCATGAGGGGTCTGGCCGGCGAACCCGGGGGGGCGCGGATGCACAGGGACCCAGGGCCACCTGCCTGGGGCAGCTCCCGCCCTTCATGGCAGGACTCCACCGTCTTCTCATCTTCAGGCTTCTCCCGGGCTTTCCTCCAGGCAGGTAACCTCGCCGGTCCAGGAACCCATCAGCTCTTTCACAGAAGCATCCACAGCTCACACCCAAAGCCACCGGAAGCCCTGGCCTTGAGCCCCTCCCTGTATGGTGTCCACCAGTCTTAAACCGTGACAGCGGTGACAGTGTCCTTTCCAGGGCAGACATCCCACCTGCAGGAGCTTTCCCTCCTGGCCTCTCTCTCGGCTGTGGTCAGAGCTACAGCGGGCTTGTCCTGTGATGACGGGGGCCCGGCCCCGACAGGGGGCTTGCCCTGTGATGACTGGGCCCGGCCCCGACGGGGGGCTTGCCCTGTGATGAC